GGGGAGTATTGGTGCTGTCTGTGTGCGTGTGAACACGGGGAGTATTGGTGTTGTGTAGGTTTTGTCTACCCCGGACCCTCCACAACTTTAAGCAGATTTGAAGTCTATAGTCTGGTTGCTGCCCATTCTAACAATTCTGCTGCGCTGCTCTGTTGCAGTCTCAGCCAGCTTCAGATTTACACCACTTCAGATAGATCCTTAAACTCGATATTTATCGTACCAACAGTAGTGATTCTCTCTTACCAGTTGAGCTGTTTCCAACGTGGTCGTCAGCTTTTACCTGATTCATGCTGCCCCTATGTTCCTGTTGGTACTGACTCTCTATCGTTGCCTCCTGCGCCTCTCTGACTACAAACTGCTACTTCACTCCAGGGTCCTTCCTCCGACAGAGCTGCCCTCACAGCTCCTGAAACAAATCAGCAGCTCCCAGCAGTCTGTCCGCAGGGACCATGTGGATGAACACCTTGTGGTTGAGTGGCCCCTCACCGAAACCCATTTCTAAAATACATGTCCCTTTCCCGAAGACCCCGAAGCTCATATAACTCTGTCGGCTGTGATCAGGGCAGAGACAGGCAGCCTCCTGGCTCTGATCAGTTGTGTAACGTTGTCTTTTATGTCACAGACACACGTGTTCTAAAGATAGCAGAGCCCAGAATGCAACAGAACAAATAGATGAGCCCCCTTCCCAGAACACAAGAAAATCAATCAGAGTTGACACGTGCAGACCTAGAGCGCACTGCACGGTGTACAAAAACATCCATATCGCTTTGTAATTAACGTGATAATTCTACCAACACTTAGATTTATGTAGCACCCAGCGCAATCTCAGCGCACGCCAACTAAGCACTTTACAGCCCATGAAGTAGGTCCGGAATTGTGGAATCTTGGAATTGTGGAATCCCTACAGTGTAGATAGAGGCCATTCAGCCCATCGAGTTCACACCGCCCCTCCGAAGAGCATCCCATTCAGACCCATCCCCAATCTGATCCCCGTAACCAGGTTTTTCCCATGGCTAGCCTGCACATCCCTGGATGCTACGGGGCAGTTTAGTCTGGCCAATCGCTGTAATCATGTCAGGAAACACAGCAGCTAATTTGTGCACTGCATAATTCCACAGACAGCTATAACATTACGACTCGATGATATATTTTAGTGAAGTCGGTAGCTGGGTGAATATTGCCAAGACAACAGGGAGAACTCCCTTGCCCTTCTTCAGACAAGTGCCATGCAATCTTTGCCAACCGCTGGGAGGGCAGACAGGACCATGGAGAAACGTCCCACCCAAAAAACAGAAGCTGTAGCGGTGCAGCCCTCTCGCTGTACTGCATTGAAATGCCGGCCTAGATTTTCTTTACCATTAATTAGATGTTGGCATCGCTGGCTGGCCAGCATTTATTGCCCATCCCTAGTTGCCCTGGGAGAAGGTGGTAGTGACCTGCCTTCTTAAACCATCGGAGTCTTTTTGGTTATGGAGCGAGCTCCAGGATTCTGTCCCAGTGACATTGAACAAACAGCAATATATTTCCAAGTTGGAATGGTGAATGGCTGAGAGAGGAACTTGCAGGTGTTCCCATGTATCGGCTGTGCTTGCCCTTCGCGATGGTAATGCTTGTAGGTTGGCAGTTACCGGCTGAGGAGCCTTGGTGTATTTCTGCAGTGCATCTTGTAGGTAGTACACTCTGCTGCTACTGAGCCTCAGCAGTAGAGGGATTGAATGCTTGTAGATGTGGTACCAATCAAATGGGCTGCATGAAGTTGGTGTCAAGCATCTTCAGTGTTGTTAGTGCTGCACTCATCCTGGCAACTGGACAGCATTCCATCACAACGCCTTGTGCCTTGTCAATGAGAAACAGACTCTGGGGAGTAAGGATGTAAGTTACTCTTTGCAGGAATCCTAGCTTTTGGCCTGTTTTTGAAGCCACAGTGTTCATGTGGCTAATCCAGTTCATATTCTGGCTAAAGCTAACCCCCAGGATGTGGACGGGAGTGGGATGGGGGGGGATTCAGTGTTGGTAATGCCACTGAATGTCAATATGTGATGGTTAGACTGTCTCTTGTTAGAGATGGCCATTGCCTGGCATTTGTGTGAAGGCAATGTTCCTTATGTTTTTCAGCACAAACCTGGACATTGTCCAGGTCTTTCTGCATTTGAACATGGACTGCTTCACAATCTGAGGAGTTGCAACTGGTGGTGAACCTCATGTAGTCATCAGTGAAAATGATCACATTTGACCTTATGATGGAGGGAAGGTCATTGATGAAGCAGCTGAAGATGGTTGGGCCTAGGACACTACCCTGAGGAACTCCTGCAGAGATGTCCTGGAGCTGAGATGACTGAACTCCAACAATCACAACCATCTTCCTCTGTGCCAGGTATGAATCTGACTAGTGAAGAGTTCTCCCCTTAATTTGATTGGCTGTAGTTTTACTCATGCTCCTTGATGCAATCTTCTGTCAAATGCTGTCATCATGTTGAGGGCAGTCACTCTCAACTCTCACCCAGGGATCATTTTACACTCTTTTCAATTTAGTGCTTCCTTGTAACTGTACATGGTAATCAACAGGAAGTCTCCTTGCCCAAGTTTGACCTGATGTGATGAGACTTTATGGGGTCCAGAGGCAGCATTGAGGACTCCCAGGGCAACTCTCTCCTCACTGTATACCTGCTGTGCCGCTACCTCTGCTGTGTCAGTCAGTTGCTGGGAAAATACATAGCCGGGAATGGCAATGATATGGAATATTACCTTTGAGGTGTGATTCCATGAGTGTGACTATGCCAGGCTTTTGATTGACTAGTCTGTGAGACAGCTCTCTCCATTTTGGAACTAGTTCTCAGGTGTTAGTAAGGAGGATTTTGCAGGGTCGAGAGAGCAGTGTTTATTGTTGTTGTTTCCGATGCCTAGGTCAATGTCAGGTGGTCTGCTCAGTTTCATTTTCTCTTCTGAGGCTTTTAAGCAGTTTGATAAAATGGAGCAGTTTGTTAGGCTGTTTCAGACGGCAGTTTCAAGTTAAGCATGGTAAGGATAAAATTCACCTTCCTTAATGGGTCATCACTAGACTTCGAATTCTACGTTGTATAATGAAGGGTGGATTTGAACCTGGGTTCCTTGAGTGTTACGTGCATATCAGCAACAATATCTCTACACCAACAGTTCCCCAAGATTTTGACCTCTAGACTTTAGAGTGGGATTTGAAACCACAACTAATTCAGAGATGAGCATCATAAAGTCTCGAGCCATAATTTGGGAATGTTTAATCATAAGATTGATGAGTGTTTGTTTGTCAGTGTGGTACTGCACATTTCTCCGTGGAAACACTGTAGGCTGTGATATTGCAACCCACAGGATGGGAAGGTCATGAGTTTGATCTCCATTTGCACTGTGCTCGCTCTCAGTGCCCTTTAAGCTAGAGGGTTAGGGGAAAAGGTTCAGGGTTCCCATTCCAGATAGCTCTCTGTGACTTCTGCTGGATAGAACACACCTAAGTGTTTCAAGCAGGAACAGACCCCCTGAGATCCTCCCCAGGGAATAACACCCATTCACAGTCTAAGAACACACAAGGCAAGAGGGTTGTGTGAGGTGAAGTGTGAGGTGATACACTTTGACTGGAAGAACATTGAAAGACAATATAAAACAGTGGGTTCAATTCAAAAGGGGGTGGAGGAAGAGTGGGGCCTGGGTATATATGTGCACAGACCATTGAAGTTTGCAGGACAGGTGGAGAGAACTGTTAATAAGATATGCAATGTAATCAGATTTATTAATAGGGGCATAGCATACAAGAGCAAGGAGGTGACGTTGAAATTGTACTAGACCCTTGTTAGACCTCAGCTGGAATATTGAGTACAGTTGTGGGCATCACATTTTCGGAGAGATGTGAATGCACTGGAGACACTGCAGAAGTGATTTGTTAGAATGGTTCCAGGGAAGAGAAACTTCAGTGATGGGGAGAGATTGAAGAAGTTAGGTCTGTTTTTGTTGGAGAGAAGGCTGAGAAGAGATTCGATAATAACGTAGGGACAAATTACAGCAGATGCTGGAATCTGTACTGAAAACAACAAATGCTTGAGATCACAGCTGCTCAGACGGTGGGCTAAGTAAAGTAACACAGGGAGAAACTGGTCCATGCTGACCAGATATCCTAAATTAATCCAGTCTGATTTGCCAGCATTTGGCCCATATCCCTCTAAACCCTTCCTATTCGTGTACCCATCCAGATGCCTTTTAAATGTTGAAATTGTACCAGTCTCCACCACTTCCTTTGGCAGCTCATTCCATACATGCACCACCCTCTTTGTGAAAACTTTCCCCCTAGGTCCCTTTTAAATCTTTCCCCTCTCACTTTAAACCTATTCTCTCTCGTTTTGGACTCCCCTACCCTGGGGAAAAGACCTTGACTATTCAGCTTATGCAAGCCCCCCATAATTTTATAAACCTCTATAAGGGTGTCACGGTGGCTCAGTGGTTAGCACTGTTGCCTCATAGCACCAGGGACCCGGGTTTGATTCCACCCTTGGGCGACTGTCCTGTGTGGAGTTTGCACATTCCCCCCATATCTGCATGGATTTCCTCCAGGTGCTCTGGTTTCCTCTGACAGTCCAAAGGTGTGCAGGTTGGGTGAATTGGCCATGTTAAATTAGATCATAGATCATAGAATCTGTACAGTGTGGAAACAGGCCCTTCAGCCCAACAAGTCCACACCAACTCATCCCCCTATAACCCACCTAATCTACACATCCCTGAACACTACAGGCAATTTAGCATGGCCAATCCACCTAACCTGTACATCTTTGGACTGTGGGAGGAAACCGGAGCACCCGGAGGAAACCCACACAGACACAGGCAGAATGTCCAAACTCCACACAAACTGTTGCCCGAGGGTGGAATTGAACCTGGGTCCCTGGTGCTGTGAGACAGTAGTGCTAACCACTGAGCCACCATGCCGTCCTAGACAAGCAATTAGGGCTCGTCCGTGATTTGAACCTGGGACCTCTCACATATCCACGCTATATAATCCCCAAAGCAAGAATCATACCCCTCGACCAATGAGCCATTACCTTGTCTGTAGTGTCTAGGGATGTGCAGGCTAGGTGGATTATCCATGGGAAATGCAAGGTTACAGAATAGGGTAGTGGGGGTCAGTCTGGGTGGGATGGTCTTCAGAGGAACAGTGTGGACTGGATGGGCTGAATGGTCTATTTCCATACTGTAAGGATTCTATGATTATCTTCCATTCCAGCACAGTCCTGTGGATTTTGCCATGTTTAGGAGGACAATCTTTAGTTCCTGGAGGCTGCGTAAGGGAGTTGCCAATGGCAAGTATATCACCTTGTGTCAACTTGGCAGTTCAGGCTGGTAATGAAAGGGTTATATTTCCAATCTCCTAAATTTCAGTTTCCCCTCCCCCCCTCCCATTAGCAGTGAGCAGACACACACACATTAGAGTCAACTGTTTTCAAATTCAGGCTTCCCCGACAGGATAGATATGAAAACAAGGAATGAAACGCCATATGTATGTTTCAGTGGAGGCTCTCCTCAAACCTTTAGGGTCAAAATGTTACATGGGGAGTATTTAAGGTTATTTGAAGTGGACAGAAGAGCCCAGTTCCTTCCACCCTTCTTGCAACAATGAGATTAGGAGATATGAATCCCTGCTTTATTTGTAAATTTTTTTTTGCACACACTTTGAATTCCCACTATTGCCAGGTCAGCTAAAAAGAAAACTGAGCAGCTCGCTGTGAAGGAGAGCAAAGGAATCTTCTGGCATCTAATATACAGGAACTTAAGTCTTGAATAAAACAGGCTTGATTCCTTTAAATCAACTTAAAACTTTAAAAGCGCATTTACGATTGTGAAATATCCCGAGGCTGAGGGAATCTGACAGCAAACGAGCATTCAGGGACAAGGGATATGGGAGACAACCAGAGAGGTAGCTCTTAATGAGATTTGCAAAAGTGTATTGATACGCTGAACTCCTTTCATCCTCCAGCCCCCTAGCTCTGAACTCAGAACCTTGGGTTTTGTTCAAGTTCTCTGAAGTGATTCCTTGTTTTTCCACATTTCAAGAGATTCCATCCCAAACCCGCCCCTCAAGCTTAACACTAAACGTATGACATGAGCATTCTGTGTTGAAAGAGTTTGTGAGCAGTTGTGACTGGCTACTGGGAGGAGACAGGTCTAGGCTCCACCTTCAGGGAGGAAGCTCTCTCTCCAGTTCAAATTTCATCTGAAACTCTGTTCCTCACAAGGCTGCAGTGCCTGTGACTCTCCCTCTCTCCCTCTTTCTGTCTCTCCACCCCCACTTCTCCTGCTCTCTCTCTCTCTCTCCCCACAGACATGGCCCCCTGGCTCTCTTGGCCCATCTCCCTCACCCTTATCCTAGCCACTGGGAGCTGGGCCCAAAAGCAGGAGCAAGGCCAGGCCCCACTGGAACCATACGACCGTCTGTTCAGCGCTGCAGTGGAGGCATATTACCGCAACGACTGGCAAGGGGTCATCATCAACATGGAGCGGGCCCTGCAGAACCAAGTAAACCTGCGGCAGATTAAGGTCCATTGCTGGACCCACTGCAACAACAAGACAAGGTTTTCCATCTCAAGCAGTGGGCAGGACTTCTTCTTCGACACTAATTTCTTCAACACTGTGCTAAAGAAGGCCGACTGCCTGAAACAGTGTGAGGAAGACAAGCTGGGGCCTTACTCCATGCATCAGATCTCTGAGGAGATGCTGCTTGAATTCCAGAAGAGGACCCCTTACAATTATCTGCAAATGGCATATTTCAAGGTAATGTTAACCAGCATTGTCCAAGATGCTTTCAAATGCATCGATGTCTCACTTTCTGGGATCGGTGCTGTTTTATGCAGCCATTTTTCAATAACTGGTCATCTTGACCTTTAGCCTAATGTAACAATTCCACCTGTTTGTTTCTGAAATCCCACAGCTGTATCTTAAAGGTTTCTGCCGAACAACTCAACCTTTGATCCTTCCTGCAATTTTAGCAGGAAATTATATATTCTTGTCCTCAATAGTGAGAGCTCCTGGTGTTGGGTGGAATGCAGGTTACATTTCCACATTCCTCTGTACTAATGCGGCAAGGTCTCTTTTAACAGTATGAAGGTTTTAAAAGAGAACTGGTTGCATTAGTACAGAGAAATGCAGGTTACATCTCTATTATCAATGCTACCAACTCCTCCAGCTTTTAAAAGCGCCTTCGAGTTGAGCTGGAAGGTGTCACAGTAGTGAAATCCCAAATGCTTTCAGCTACCCTGCCCAGCAGATTTAAGAAATGACTTATGGGCTAAAGTATGTTATTAATTTTGTCCAGGTTCACTGATGGTCATTCAGTGCTGAATGTCAAGCAAGAGAGTGTTCCCCTGCTCTGTTTTCTTATTTCCACTTTACAGAATATACAAAGAGTTTTCAGCCCTGTTGTACCTCATAGGTTTGTGTCAGATTCGATTCAAATGTCTGAGCTACCACTGAGCTTTGGCTCTTGTGGACACTAACATCTTATTCTTTTACAACTTGCTTGGTTTAGTGTTGAAAGGGGGTGCATTGTGTGGCTAGCCCCGGCCTCACTGTGTGCTCTTGATATGTCTAGTCTGTTTTAATTGTGCCTTAGTGGAGAACTGCAGCTGGGGGCCTCTCTCCCACCCTGGCTCCCTCCCTCCCCCAGCCAAGCCCATTATTAGCCTGAGTGCCACGTAGAAGCCGTCTCTCAGTTGTAACTCTCTCTTACTGCCTGCAGCTTCCCTTCCGTAGTTCGCAAGGACATCGTAAAATCCTACAGAACCCTTGACTCTGTGTCTGAAAACAAACAGCTTCTATCTCCTGTTGGCAGGCCAGTTGTTACACATTTCTTTAACTAGCTGAAATTTTATCGGCCTCCTTATCCTGTCTAACGCATTGTTTTCCCTCACTTTCTTTTACACGGTCCTCAGATTCTTCATCAACTCCAGCTGTTCTTCTCCCAGCTTTAGAAAATCGTGCCCTAATGTAGAAAACTCCCACAAACTACTGTTGTATTCCCTGGAATTTTGAAGAGTTAAAGGGCTGTTTGGATAAAAGTTCTGAAGTGCAGATTGAGATAAAGTATTTTTACAATCTTAGGGAATCTGAATTTAGGGCCATTGGAAAAAAACCAGCAATGTCAAACCTTTCGGGAATAACATTAGGAAACACAAAAGGTGGTAGATGGTTGAAATTTGCTTTCACAAATGGTTATTAACGTGAAGTCAGTCATTCAATTTATATCTGAGACTGTACAGATTTTTGTGAAAGTGAGGGTATTATGGCTTATGAGTTTGAGAAACTTCTCAGCCATGATTGAATGGTGGAGCTGACTCGATGGGCTGAATGGCCTAATTTCTGCTCCCATGTCTTATGGTCTTGTGAGGCAAAGGTATAGGAGCAGAGCCACAGGCCAGCCACAATCTAATTGAATGACTGAACAGGCTAGAGAGGTTAAGAACAATTCTATTCCTGTGCTCCTTCCAGTTATTTTAAAAATGATGTTGACTGAGGAATGATTATTAACCACGGCAGTTGGAGCACTTCCCTACACAGCTTCAAAGTTACACGTTGGGATCTGAACGAGAGACTTGATCTCAGAACCCTCTGATGAGGAGGTAAGAGAGCACCTTCGCCCCAGCTGATATCACCTTCAATTGTAGGAGCAAATTACTACAGATCTGCACTGAAAACAAAGGGTGCTGGAAATCACAGCAGGGGCAGCTTCCACAGAGACAGAACCAGCTAATGCTTTGAGTCTACATGACTCTTCATCAGAGCTTGCAACATTAGCTTGCTCTCTCTCCGCGGATGCTGCCTGACCTGCTGTGATTTCCAGCACTTTTTGTTCTTGGTCACTTGCAACCATAGCCGTTACACTTATTTAATTTTTTCTCCTACGATTCCAAAGCTGCAAATTTGTTACAATACATCGCTGGGCATTTCTTTGGTTTCTCAATGTTGAAACATTTTAGCTTAACATACAGAAAGGACATGTATATAGATGTCCCCTAACATTTGAAGCCCATTTAATAAGTAAAACTACCCTTGACGGCTGAGTTACTGATTGCAATGTTCCAAGGTACATGGTTCAATCCCTGGTTTCCCTGTTGATCTCAGTGACCTCAGATTCCTGATGCCAGCTGGAAAGTCTTTTCTGTGTGGGCACTGGGACAAAATCGGGCTCCAGCTGTGATGTTCCCCTGTGGGTGAGGAATGGAGTGGTTTAGGATCTTCAGTCAAGGATGTGAGTTAGAGCAGCAACCTGAGGGAGAATTAACCCAAACTCTAAGGGGGCTGAAAAGACAAGGAAGAGAGTGAAGAACAGCCAGCTCTGTACCTGAGTGGGTCAGAAGAGATTTGTGATGGTGGCCATTTGCAATATACACTGGATGAAAACAGGGCCCAGCACAGAAGTTTGAACTAACCAGTAGCCATCAAGGTGAAGGAATGGTTGAGCTAGGGATGGGAAAGGTCAGCCAGGTTTTGTTTCTGCCCTTGTCAGCAGTCCCTTCTGGGACAAATACTTTACTGCAACCTTGCGAGTCTAGGGAAATGTTAAGACACTCAACCCAGAGAAAAGGCGTCTGTTATCTCCCACAGATTCTTCAGGTGCCAGGGCGGGTGTCAGAACGAGAGCCTCCTGGACTTCAGCCTGCCTGCACCAACTGTTATGCAGCATGGCACAGACACTCAGCCAGACTGGGCATTGCCCCCAGCAGCAGGAACCTGTCCAGAGCTTCTCTTATTCTGCCACCATAACTTAAACATTTCATTGTGGAAATACCCAATTAGAAGTGACCAGACGGAAGCATTGGTAAGAAATGAAACAGCAACGACGCTGCGCATTCCTGTACTGTCCCAAAATCGTTCCATGTGCTAACAGAACATGAAATAGACAAACTATGCCACTGAGTCACATAAAGAAACATTAGGAGCAAAGTCTCCAGCTCAGGACATTGGGTGAATGGTAGTTTTTGATCTAACAATTTCATGCAAAGGGTATGCAACTGTGTGGTATTGATTGCACAGGAAAATTCCAATAATTCAGGCTACTTGGAACCAAAGCAAGGTTAAGGAGGGACATTTTAAGGAGTGTCTTAAGGGAAGACAGAGAGTTAGAGAGGCAACCATAATTAAGGATTGGATTCCTGAGCATGGGATCTATGTAGCTGAAGACACGTTCATCAATGTTGGAGCAAAGAAAATCACAAATGTGCAAGAGGCCGGAATTAGAGGAACATAGAGAGGTTTGTAGAGCTGGAGGAGGTTACAGAGAAAGGGACACTCATATGGGACTTAGATTGTTAAAGTAGTCATGAAAGCCAAGTAATGAATTGTTCCCTAATCTGCTGACAAAATATATCCTTCTCTAATCTCCTATACTTCATTGTAATGATCTGTAGTTTCAATCAGAGCTATATAGTAACTCTGGAAGCATGGGATTTGATGCTAGTTTGGAGAGGTCAAGGGGACTTAACAGGTTGGAAACATTATATTTGGTGCATAACCTGGTGTGTTTACTGCTCTCCTGCAGTGGTGTCATTTCAGTTACAAGGAATATACTCTATGGATGCTAACTTAAAACATTGCCAAGATGCCTGAATGGTCGGCATCTTGCTGAGAAGCCAATTCCACACAGTTGCATGCCCTTTTCATGAAATAGTTGGATCAAAACCTACTGTTCACCTTCTGCCCTGAGCTGCAGTCTTTGCTGCCAGTTATAGAGCACAGTTGCATCAGCATATCATGCTTCAAGTGGCCCCAGCTAAGATAGAGTCTGAGACATGCTACAATATGGTGATGATACAAGAATATAAGAGCATGAGAAATAGGAGCAGGAGTAGGCCATCTGGCTCCTCAGGCCTGCTCTGCCATTCAGTAAGATCATGGCTGATCTTTTCGTGGGCTCAGCTTTACTTATCTGCCCATTCACCATGAACTTCAATTCCTGTACTATTCAAAAATCTATCTATCTTTGCCTTAAAAACATTCAACGAGGTAGCCTCAGCTACTTCACTGGGCAGGGAATTCCACAGATTTATAACTTTTTGGGTGAAGAAGCTCCTCCTCAAATCTGCTCCCCCTTATTTTGAGGCTATGCCCTCTAGTTCTGGTTTCACCCACCAGTGGGAACAGCTTCCCTGCTTCTATCTTATCTATTACCTTCATAATTTAAATGTTTCGATATAAGATCCCCCCTTATTTTTCTAACTTCCAATGAGTACAGTCCTAGTCTACTCCATCTCATCAGCCAACCCTCTCAATTCCAGAATCAACCTAGTGAACCTCCTCTTCACCCCTTGTAGTGCCAGCACATCCTTTCTCAATTAAGGAGACCAAAACTGCGCACTGATATCATAAACATGTCTCTGAAAAGGATACTGCATACGAGGTGTGGGACATAACACAACAAAGTTCACTGCAGGTCAGGCCATGGATCAACAGGGGCCTTGGCCTAAATACAATATAAATCTTGTCAGGAGTCAAGATAAGATTCCAGGCTGCTCTACACCACATTATAATCTCTCACCGTTCTGCAAATGATTCAAATCAAGCATAAACATGTTGAGTACAAACCTTTGGTCGCTTTTCGGAATGAAGTTTAAATTGCCAAATATTCACTGATAGTAAGTAAGAATTAGCCCATCATAATCTCAATCCCAAAGTCCCGACCCTTAAATTCTCTCTGCTTCTTTACTGCCCAATTTACATTTAGAAGGTTCCTTGAAACCCACATCTTCAACCAATCCCTCAGGCATCGACTCATCGACATGGGAGTTTGTGCTCGATGGGCTAAACTTCTTCTCAACTATAATCTTTCTATGATGTGTGCTGTTTTTCCCTCTGTCCCCCACATGTTTGATACTAAAGGTGCTACAGAATGGCAAATTCTGTTTTCTCTGTATCCTGGGAATCTAAAGCTCCTTAAAGACATTGCTCGAAGCATGAGACTAACTTGCATGTCTATCCGCCTCCCCCTCTCTCCCTATTTATTTCAGAACCCCCTTCCCCTCCCCCATTTCTGATGAAGGGTCTAGGCCCGAAACGTCAGCCTTTCTGCTCCTATGATGCTGCTTGGCCTGCTGTGTTCATCCAGCTCTGCACCTTGTTGTCTAAAATCCCAATGGTTTTTCTCTTTTCTCCTCCTGCTATCACTGGCTGCTTACCAGAAAATGCTCCTTGCCTCTGGCGATCCCAAATAGCCAGCAATCATTTGTGTACCTCAGCAATGAGTTACCACAGGGATCATCTGCGCAGAGCTCAATCCTGAGGTTGCCTGGCATGGGAAAACCTCCATGGCCCATTTACTTTCCCAAACCTGGAATGTGGAATCCAATCGGAGAACTTCTTCCATTGCTTCTGTTAAGAAGTAATTTACTCTTTATCATAGAGTCATAGTGTCATATAGCACAGAAACAGAGCCTTCAGTCAAACCACTCCACGTCAACTAAACTACTCCTACCTGCCTGAACTTGTCCCATGTCACTCCAAACCTTTCCTATTCGTGTACTTATCCAAATGTCTTTTAAATGTTGTAACTGTACATATATCCACCACTTTCTCTAGCAGTTCATTCCACGCATGAACCACTCTCTCTCTGTATAAAAAGGTTGCCGGTCATCTCCTTTTTAAATCTTTCTCAGCATTTATTGTCATCCCTAAATCCCCAGAGGGCAATTGAATCAGCTTACATTGCTGCAGGTCTGGAGTCACATGTAGGCCAGACCAGGTAAGCATGGCAGATTTCTGTCCCTAAAGGATATTAGTGAACCAGATGGGTTTTTATAACATTGATCGCTAACATTTTTAAATTGAATTCAAATCTCACCATCAGTTATAATGGGATTTTAACCCAAGTCCCCAGAACATTGGCCTGGATTACTAGCTCAGTGGCCCATTAGAGTACTGCTTTCTGAGCTCACTATACTAGGCTGGGGATCACAGCAGGACATTCCTGGCTGTGAAGCAAACATTGAGAACTATTTATCAGATCATCTTCTACTGAAAAACCTTACCCTAAATGACTTGCTGCATACTCTTTTCTACGATACCCTTATGATGCTGTGTAAAATGAGGTTTGTGTTACAGATTAAAATGTTAGACAAGGCTGTCGCTGCTGCTTACACCTTCTATGTGGTGAACCCAGAGCACCTGGAGATGAGGCAGAATCTGGAATATTACAAGATGATGGCTGGCGTGAAGGATTCTGACTTCAAGGACTTGGAAGCCAAACCCCACATGGTAATAACTTGCTACTGACCCAACGTTACAACTGGCATTTTTTGTATCAGCACTAGTGCTCTGAACTCTATGCCCGCAATGTACTGTACAACTAGAAATCAGACTCATATACAGAAACCCAAAGGCATGCGTATCTTGTGCGTGCTTTAGCTTCTATTGATATTCTATTGATCCCAGTTCTATTGCCTCATTTCTCAGGATGTTTTCCGCACAGGAGTTCGACATTACACAGACGAGCAGTTTGAACCAGCAATTGAGTTTTTAGAAAGTGCTCTGGTGGAATATTTCAAGGCAGACATGGAGTGTCGTGCTCTCTGTGAGGGCCCATACAACTTTGATGGTTACAGTTACATGGAATACAATGCGGACCTGTTTCAGGCTATAACAGGTAACACTTTTATTTCACTCGGAGACAGTAAGAACTGCTGATGCTGGAGTCAGAGATAACACAGTGTGGAGCTGGATGAACACAGCAGGCCAGGCAGCATCAGAGGAGCAGGAAAGCTGACGTTTCGGGTTGGGACCCTTCCTCAGAAATGTGGCCGGGGAGAGGGAGCTGGGAAATAAATATCGGGAGGAGGGGTAGGGCTGGGGGAAGGTAGGTGGGATGGTGACAGGTGGATGCAGGTAGGGGGTAGTGGGGACTGGTTGGTGGGAAGTGGAGGACGAATAGGTGGGAGAGAAGATGGCCAGGTTGTGGCAGGTCAAGGAAGCGGGGATGAGAGGGAGGGTTAGATTTGGGCTGTGGTCGGGGGTGGGGAGATTTGAAACTGGTGAATTCAATGTTAAGGCCATTGGGCTGCAGGCTCCCAAGGCGGAATGTGAGGTGTTGCTCCTCCAATTTGTGTGCGGTATCATTGTGGCACTGGAAGAGGCCCAGGATGCACATGTCACCCAGGGAGCTGGAAGGGGAGTTAAAATGGTTGGTGACTGGAAGGTGTTGTTGATTATCACATACAGAGCGCAGGTGCTCCACAAATCGGTCCCTGAGTCCCCGCTTGGTCTCACCGATGTAGAGGAGGCCACATTGGGAACAGCGGATGCAATAGACCACATTGACGGATGTGCAGATGACGCCCTGTCTAATGTGAAAAGGAGGTGAGGGGACAGGTGTAGGAGCAGGTGTAGCACTTCCTGCAGTTACAGGGAAAGGTGCTGGGGTGGGGGGGTTAGTGGGGAGTGTGGAGCAGACGAGGGAGTTGCGGAGAGCGCAGTCCCTACTAAAGGTAGATAGGGGTGGGGAGGGAAATATCTCTTTGGGTGTGGGGTCGTATTGTAGGTGGCAGAAGTAGTGGAGAATGATATGTTGGATGCGGAAGTTGGTGCGGTGATATGTCACATATCATGCCACCAACCTTCGCATCCAGCGCATCATCCTCCGCCAATTTCGCCAGAGGAGCAACACCCCATATTCCGCCTCAGGAGCCTACAGCCTAATGGCCTGAACATAGAATTCACCAGTTTTAAGTTCTTCCCACCCCCAGCCTCATCCCACGTCCAAACTTCCCTCTCATCCCCGCCTCCATGGCCTGACACAACCTGTCCATCTTCTCTCTCACCTATCCGCCCTCCACTTCCCACCAACCAGTCCCCACTACCTCCTACCTGCATCCACCTATCACCATCCCACCTACCTTCCCCCGGCCCCACATGTCCTCCCGATATTTATTTCCCAGTTCCCTTCCCCCGGCCCCATTTCTGAGGAAGGGTCCCAACCCAAAACATTAACTTTCCTGCTCCTCTGATGCTGCCTGGCCTGCAGTGTTCCTCCAGCTCCACACTGTGTTGCCACTTTCATTTCATTCCCTCTATGGTCCAGGAACCTTGTCAGTTCATTTGGTAACACTCATTCCTGTGAGACAGTGGGTTCTGGTTCTACAGGCAAAAAGACAGTAGAGTGGGACTAACTGGATAGCTATTTCACTCGTACTGTCATGATGGAACGAATAGCCTCTTCTGTAATGCAGCTGTGACAGATTTGGATAATGTTTGCATTCACCAGCTTAACGTTCATGAACAAACATTGAATAAGAGCTGAGGTAACTGTGTTTGGAAAGCTGGATCAGATGGTGGCAAAGCAGCAAGTGCTGCTTTGTTGGAGGTGACATCTTTCAACTGAGTGGCAAAACTGAGGTCTTTGTCCACCTTGGAGGAGAATTTAAAAGATCACCTGGCTGTATTTCAAGAGGAGTGCTATTGTTTTCCTGGGTGTCCTAGCCAATATGTATACCTCAACCAATGTCACTTATAACAAAAATCTCACCGTTATCACATTGCTGGCTGTGGGAGCTTGCTGTGCACAGTTGTGTCATTACTTCAATCTTTATATTTGTACACAATGGTGGAGTTCCACACAATGGAATCCAACTTCTATTTTTGGAATCCAGGTCACTGATATAATCATAAAAATTTCTCCCGTGTGGAAGCAGGCCATTTGGCCCATCAAGTGCACACCACCCTCTCCAAAGAGCATGCCACCCAGACCCACCCACTTGTCCATCCTATCCCTGGTAACCCTTACATTTCCCATGGCTAACCCAGCTAGCTTGCATATCCCTGGACACTATGGGCAATTTAGCATGGCCAATCCACCTTACCTGCATTCCTTTGGACTGAGGAAGGAAACCAGAACACCCAGAGGAAAGTCAGGGAGAATGTGCAAACTCCCCACAGATAGCGGCCCAAGTGTGGAATTGAACCCAAGGCCCTGGCGCTGTGAGGCAGCTGTGCTAACCGCTGAGCCATGATAAGTAATAGCTTCTCAAACAAAAGATCTTCGAGCTTAGTGCAGGGTACAGACTGAATCAGGATTTTCTTGGGTCTGTGTGGCTCAGTGGAAAGCCCAAAACAATGGCTTTGAAGGATGCGAGTGAGATATGCCCTCCGAGGTGGTATCCTCTTTTCCTGATAGGGCATGGGTAGGTGTTGTGAATGATAACTATCTTTGAAGCATCCAATGTTTTCACTCACCATTCCTGCTTGGGATTTCAGTGTTGACATGGGATGTGGCCACAGTTTCATGTACAGAATTGTACCAAATCTTCCCAAAGTGAAAAGTGTGTGAATATCTCTGGAGCAATCTACTGTTTCAGATAGGTACAGGTATCAATTGGTGCTTTATAGAGTAATGTGTACATCTTACTCGCAAGTGCTATCCACTTTCACTTTCAGATCACTACATTCAGGTGCTCAACTGCAAACAAAACTGTGTGACAGAGCTGGCGAGTCGGCCTGACAGAGAAACACCCATCGATGACTTCCTGCCTTCCCATTTTGACTACCTTCAATTTGCATATTACAACAGTGAGTATCTAGGGTCCTTTGTAATACAGCTTAAAGAGGCAGTGTCACCTCGCTAGGTCCAGGGGAGGGAGAAGGAGTTACCTTTTGTAGGCAAGTTGGGCTCTAGAAAGCTTTCACTTTCAAATGGTTGAAGTGTTGCCAATCCTGATGTTGTGGCTAAATTAAACACATCTGTCATCAATGAAAATGCCGGAAAACCAGACACCATGATTAAAATAAAACTGCATTGAAATTTTATTAAATGTGCTTTGTCGATAATTAGATATTTTTGATTAAAAAATGTGTAGGTCTACAGGCAAAAAGACAGTAGAGTGGGACTAATTGGATAGCTATTTCACGAGTACTGGTATGATGGACCGAATAGCCTCTTTCTGTAATGTAGCTGTGACAGATTTAGATAATATTTGCATTCACCAGCTTAACATTCATGAACAAACATTGAATAAGGGCTGACGTAACTGTGTTTGGAAAGCTGGATTAGAAGGTGGCAAACATTTTCTGTCTTACTGTTTACATAAAAGGAAAAGTTTGTTGAGTTTAACTATCTTCCTTTTCCGTTTAAAACATTCATTCTCATTCTGGAAGCTGAGCTCTGAGCAACTTTATCTCTGTTCCGATTCCAGCTGAAGACTACTCCAAGGCTATTGAATGTGCCAAAACCTATTTGCTTTTCTATCCCAATGACGAAGTAATGAACCAGAACCTACAGTATTACCAGGCAGTACTGGGAGAAGAACAGGCCGCATCTCTCGGCCACAGAGAGGTAGATCTGTTCTAGATATCGAGGCTTTGCTATCTTGCTTAGATTAAATATACTTTTCAACTAACAAACAAAAGCCAGTAGCATTTATATAGCACCGTTTACAACCACAGGATTGAGAGCTTTTCATTTCTCTCACTCCTAATTAGGGGCCTTCAAGAGAATTCCAAACAAATTGTGACATCTTGGCCAGACCATTTGGCCCGACTAGTCGATGCTGGTATATTTTAGCATGCCCTTATTAATTATAATTTCACCCTGTGTCCCAATCCTTTATCCCCTGTCTTCTGATGTATTTTAGGTGGGAGGTTCTAGGCAGGTACCCTGTGGAGATGGGCGACCCTCTCACTGCCAGTGATTGTACGTGCGCACAGCGCCCAGTCTATGAGTTAGGGCTGGTAGCCCAAGTAAGCTGTGACAAAGAAGTTTATGGTGTCATGTGTGTTCCCACTCCCCAGCCCAGCATGGTTCTTTCTAAGCAGGGCATCCGGACCCGCAAAATAGACAGCGTTTATAAATGGAATTCCTGGATACCCTCTGAGTTGTGGCTGACCTTCGGAGAGTATGTGTGTGTGTGTGTTGGTGGGGTGTGGTTCACTGCGGGATGTATGGGCTTAGGCAAACAGCACAGCAGAAATGCTAGCTAGGACCAGAAGGTGTCACCTCCACGTGCTAGCCCAGTGCAAATGATGGGCTTTTCCAGCGACAACATCTTCCCTCTCCACCAACCAGCACCCACCCCACTCAAAAATTCACGCCACCTAGGGATCAGTGTTGGAAAGCTCTGGTGCACAAAAGCAGAAATTGCTGGAAAACAACTCAGCAGGTCTGGAAGCAATTGTGGAGAGAAATCAGAGTTAATGTTTTGGGCCATACAGTCACAGAATTGTACAGCACTAAAACAGACCCTTCAGTCCAATTCGTTTATGGCAACCAGATATCCTAATTTAATCCCTGGCAACATCCTTTTAAATATTTTCCACACCCTTTGAAGTTTAACATCTTTCCTCTATTCGTTCACGGGATGAGAGCATCGCTAGCTTGGCTGCATTTATTGCCCAGAGGGCAGTTAAGAGTCAACCACATTGCTGTGGGTCTGGTGTCATATGTAGGCCAGGTAAGGATGGCGGTTTCCTTCCCTAAAGGGCATGAGTGAATAAGGTGGGGTTTTTCCTGCCAATCAGCAATGGATTCATGGTCATAATTAGATTCTTAATTCCAGATATTTATGGAATTCGAATTCAAATTCCACCATCTGCCATGGCGGGATTCAAACCCATATCCTGGGAATATTATCTGGGTCTCTGGATTAATAGTCCAGTGATAATACCAAAAGGCCATCACCTCCCCTCCTATAGCAGGGAGACTAGAATTGAATGCAGTATTCCTAAAGCGGCCTAACCAATGTCCTGAGAAAACAAGGTGTAGAGATGGATGAACACAGCAGGCCAAGCAACATCAGAGGAGCAGGAAAGCTGACGTTTCGGGCCTAGACCCTTCTTCAGAAGGGCACAGATCTCGCGGGTCCACTATGTTTTTATCTGATCTGACAATTTCTGATCATTCCTGACAGAATATCCAGGCGTACATCAACAACTCATTGCTGGAAAAGGAATTGCTGTATTTTGCCAATGAGATCTTTGGATTTACCTTTATAGATCCAGTGAGTGACCCTTCTTCATTTTCTGAAGAAGGGTCTGGGCCCAAAACATCAGCTTTCCTGCTCCTCTGATGCTGCTTGGCCTGCTGTGTTCATCCAGCTCTACACCTTGTTATCGCAGATTCTCCAGCATCTTCAGTTCCTGCTATATCCCTAAGCAATGTCCTGTGCAGCCGCAACATGAGATCCCAATTCCTATACTCAATGCACTGACCAATAAAGGCAAAAGCCTCCTTCACAATCCTGACTACCTGCGATTTCACTTTCAAGGAACTATGAACCTGCACCCTTGTGTCTCTTTGTTCAATAACATTCCCCAGGACCCAACCATTAAGTGTATAAGTCCTGCCCTGGTTTGCCTCACCAAAATGTAACACCTCAGATTTATCTAAACTAAACTCTATCTGCCACTCCTTGGCCCATTGGTCCATCTGATCAAGGTCCTGCTGGACTCTGACATAACCCTCTTCACTGTCCACTACTTCACCAATTTTGGTGTCATTTGCAAACTTACAAACCATTCCTCCGCACGACCCGAAATGTTAACACTGATTTCTTTCCACAGATGCTGCCAGAGCTGCCAAGTTTTTCCTGCAAATTTGGTTTTTGTTTCTGACTTCCAACATTTCTTTTGGTGCTTTATTTAGTAATGTTTTGGATCTTTGCATTCTCTGTGACGGCTGCTCTTAGAAATGTCATCACGTTCCTGCACAGATCTTGCAGGTCCACTATGTTTTAATCTGATCTGACAATTTCTGATCATTCCTGACAGAATATCCAGGTGTACATCAACAACTCATTGCTGGAGAAGGAGCTGCTGTATTTTGCCAATGAGATCTTTGGCGTTACCTTTATCGATCCAGTGAGTATCCAGCCTGCTGCTTTCGCATCTTCTGGGAGAAAAACAATTAGAACAGGATAAGGCCATTCGGCCCATAAAGCCTGCTCTGCCATGAATCTGAACATAGCTGATCATTTGCCTCAAAGCCACTTTCTCTAATTATCTCTCTATTCCTTAATGAATCTCCAGAAAGCTATAGACTTCTATTCTGAACCTGCTCAATGATTGAGCTTCCACAGTCCCCTGGGGTAGAGCATTCCAAAGATTCATCACCTTCCTAGTGAAGAACTTCCATCTCATTGCAGTCTTCAGTTGCCAACTCCTTATTCTGAGAACATGTTTCTGATTTTAAATCTACCAGGGGAATGATCCTATCTTCTACATTCACGCTGTCTCACCCTGAACATTTCAACGAGATCGCCTCTCATTCTTCAAAACTCTAGAGAACATGGGTCTAGTTTGGTTTCTAGGGCAATTGCAAATCTGCAAATGCTTCCCCATCAGTTTTGAATGTCTGCATTTGGTTCTCAAAATACACTGATACTTTAAGACAATGAGGACACTTGTCTGTCAGTCAATTCTATATTCATTAGGTGACAATAGCACTTCTATAAATAAATTGGAGGAGAGTAAATAAGATTTGAGAGATTAATGCATGGCTCTAAGGCTGATTTGGAAGAAATTCATGGTGCATTGCCACCAAAACTGGGGTAAGTGGGAGCTGTAACATTAGAATGGCTTTTGCCTGAATTGTGCTCAGACCAGCGTTTCATGTGAGTGGCATAACAAAATCAGTAGAAGGGGCTTAAATTAAACAGTGGCAAGAAGGCATCATGTGAGAGGAGATGTGGCAATGAGGTATAGCCGAGTAATGAATTGGATATTGTTAAAGAGTGTGGTAGAAAGAGACAAGTATGACAGTAAGTGTCCAGTGTCCTTAGTAATGCAACCTAAAGGGGTGGTGTGTGTCTAGGAAATTGGTAATGGAAAACCAGAAATGGTGGAGCTGTATTTTGTGTCTGTTTTCATGATGGAAAATCTTGCAAAATTACTTCCACAATTGAAAGATGAATGGGAAAGTGGAATTTAAAACAATTACAATCAGCAGGAAAAATGGACTGTGAAAACCAGTAGACTTAAAGTCTAACAAATCTCCAGGATCTGATGACTGGCATCAGAGGGACTTAAAGGATTTGGCAGCGCAGCAAATAAATTTTTCTGAGTCTTATCTTGCAAAGCTCCATTGCTTCTGTAGGTGAAAGGAGAATGTTTTAAGAAGTTCATGAGGGGCAATGCTTTTACACAGAGAGTGGTTCATGTGTGGAATGAATTTCCAGAGGAAGTGGATTGGCAAGTTTAGGCCATGACAAGTCAGGTAGAGAGGGGGAAGGTTTCATCCAAGTGAATTGTACCCTGCTCCTCTGGAATTCATTATCAAACTTTGGAATTGCCTTTCGAGTGAAATTGCAATTAGGTTACTATTACAGACAATCTACCAGTGCTTCTTTCTAAGCAGCCACTGTGATTGGTCAATTTTCAGGAATGTTAACCATAGGGTGATCATAGCACTGGATCACTTATTAATTTGAACACAGAGATTGGTAGGCTTTGATTAACAGTTGGATAAATTGATATGAGGCAAAGGTGGGAACATGGAGTTAGGTCTGAGATCAGGCATGGTCTCCTCAACTGGTGACACAGTGTGAAGAGGTTAAATGACCTTCTCCTGTTCCATGTTCCTATGGGCGAAAAGCAGTGGGAGGCTGATAATGGAGGAGTATCTTAATATTGGGGGAGGGGAGGCGTGGTGGAAACGAAATAATGATTTTGGCCCATAATATAAAGCTGGAGTTTTGAAGCCAATAGTGGTGAAATGAGATGCTCTGCACCTCCCAAACACGTGACTTACATATACAAGGACAAGAGGACCAAATATATGGGTAAGCTACCGTCAGCCAGACCCTCAGGACCTCAAACACCTTCCAGATTTGAAAATATATCACCCGTTTCTTCACAGACATCAATTCAAATTCCTGAAGCTCCATCTCTAACTGCACTGTGGATGTCCTACACCCCAAGGACTATAGCAGCTCACCACCCACTATCTCCAGGGCAATTACTGTTGGCCTAGCCAGCAACATTCATAGCCCATGAAAGAATTAATAGACAAGAGCAATGTGTAAAAGTGAGATGATTTCATGTCACCTGACCCCAGCATTTCCAATGGTTCACTTCCAATGAACTTCTTTTTGTTCGTTTTAGGACAAGTGGACGCCTGAGGACGTGATGCCAGTTAAACTCAAAGAGAAGCAAAAGTAAGATTTAAAGTCTCACCCCGAGTCCAGTTGTAAATGTTGATTAAGTCCAGGTCAGAAACCTGAGTTGCAGTTTGGTCCTATCCTGCTAAATGATCCTCATCAATCAGACATTTTGCCCATTTTCCTCTGTTCAGAACCCAGGATGCTTTCCCCTTGAGTTGTTATACAGTGGCCCTTCCGTGGTAACTGATGCTAGAAATGAGTGTTAGGGAGATCAGGGCAATGCTGGTGTTTGGCACAGGGATAGTTCATTTTCTTTGGTAAAGGCAACTGAGGTAGTTCCTTATCTGACATTCAGTCTCCTTAATAGGATCCAGCCTTTCAGAAGGAGAAAGATGGACAAAAATAGTAAAGTAAAAGTTCTTGGATAGACTCCTTCTACATTGGCCACAAAAATAAGTCGAATGAAGAGCAGCTAGGGTTTTGAATGGCTAAAATTCATTTGTCTGGGAGCTTGACCAACCAACTGTTGATTCCTGAAAGGGTCTGAAATGACAAGCATATGCCTCTAATGCATTGTAATTCTGAGCAGTTTACCTTGATTTGGGGAGGGATCTGGTTCAGAGGTAGATGTTACTCCAAAAGTGCAACTGCCCTTGTCTTTTGCCCTGGTTTCTTGGTAGCACACAGAAGGGAAGGTCCTATTTTCAGGCCATAGCCTAAGCCAGGCTAGCTGATATCATCTTGACAGATGGTAAGACTTTGCAGTCCCTGGGCTACAGAGTGGGGTCTTTGGTTGTTCCTGGAAAATGTTAATGTGTGGAAGTTAGGATAGAAAAGCCCTAGGCCCAATATCCACAGCTCAATCTCGAAATTCTCACCTTGAACATTCGAATGTCGAAGCCAAAGTTACTGCAACATGAATCACTGTCTCCAGAAGAGGAAAGAGAGATGATCTTTTAAAAATGTGTTTTCTCACAATTCGTTTGTAAAAAAAAAACCAACTTTGGAAACAGGGTGGAACGAGAGACTGCAGCTCGGATCAGCAAAGAAATTGGAAACCTGATGAAAGAGATTGAACACCTGGTCGATGAGAAAACCAAGGAATCATCCGAGATTGTGAAGATGGTGAGAGAAGGTAAGGGCACCGTGTTGATCAGATTTAGTCTTGGGTGATGGTTTTGCTTCTAGTGTCTAGTTAGTGTCATTTCACTAACAGCCAGCTGACCTATAATTGGCAAAATTGTGGCTGTGTCCCTATAATTTACAGTGAAAGCACAATCAATGACCAGTAAGAATTGGACCTTATCTGTCCAACTCCAGACAGAGTAGATTCCTCTTGCCAGGAATGCCCATTGCCTCTAACCTAGCTTCATTGTGGAGCTCTGCTAATTCAACTTTCTCTCACATCAAAACCATTTCCAGAGACTTATAGAGTCGTAGGAATGTACAGCATGGAAACAAACCCTTTGGTCCAACTCGTCCATGCTGACGAGACATCCTAAATTAATCTAGTCACATTTGTCAGCATTTGGTCCAAATTCCTCTAAACCCTTTTTCATGTACCCATCCAGATGCCTTTTAAATGTTGTAATTGTACCAGCCTGAAGGGTTCCTCTCCTGCCCTTCTGCTCCCCACCCAAACTCCATTCCCCTTCAAAACCCCACTTACCTCCCTGTATTTCCTCTCTCTGGGTCCTGATCGTGGTTAACGTACAGATGCGTAGATTCCAGCAACTTATTTTTATTCATTCATGGAATGTGGAGGGCTCAGGCCAGGCCCGCATTTATTGCCCATCCCTAATCACCCAGAGGACAGTTAAGAGTCAGCCACATTGCCGTGAGTCTGGAGTCACATGTAGGCCAGACCAGATAAAGACAGCAGATTTCCTTTCCTAAAGGATGTTAGTGAACCAGATGTTTTTTCTTCCAACAGGTGACGATGGATTCATGGCCATCATTATACTCTTAGTTCCAGATTTTTTTTAAAATTGAATTCAAATTCCACCATCTGCCATGGCAGGAGCTGAACCCAGGTTCCCGGAATGTGAGCTGAGTTTCTAGATTTGTAGTCTAGTAATAATGCCATTAGGCGATTGCCTCCCTATTCCAACTCTCAGGCATCCTCTCAAATGGTCCTTCCTCATGTGTGATACTGGATAAAGGTCAGCAATGTAGGACTTTTGGGGTGGGGGTGGTGGCATCTGCAGTCATCTTGAGTCCACATGTATACACGTGTCATCTATGTTGCCTCTAATTATTTCTGCTGCTACACAGACCTCTGAGCGATAGCAACTTCCAGCACAGGAGGTCGATGCACCTGTGAACGCATCTGTATGCCAATTGGCTTAGATGGACCCTCCAAGCAGCCATGCAGCTTATGGTGAACATTGCTTGTTGTTTGGCCAAAGGGTGATTTTGTGGTCTGGTGCTTCCAACAAGGAGCCATAATACCAAGGTTCATGCATGTGAGAATTAGTGCTAAAATACTACAGCAGTGCTGAGCTAAAAGGTCATTTGACAGCACAGAACCTGAGAATTGGATTGGATAGCATTTGCTAAATAATCCAGAGTGTGTTAGGAATTATGCCAACAACGAATTTAAAATTGTCGGCTGGGTTTGCAGTGTGGCACTGACATTTGTATGGAATCTACAGATATTAATACATGGCCCCCTGCTCTTTGTAAACAGAAAGGGCATGTGTACACATTGTTCCTGTTTCACTTCAACAAAACAAGTGACAGCCATTGAGATAACAAGGTGTAGAGCTGGATGAACACAGCAGGCCAGGCAGCATCAGAGGAGCAGGAAGGCTGACGTTTCGGGTCTGGAAAGGGTCTAGACCCGAAACGTCAGCTTTCCTGCTCCTCTGATGCTGCTTGGCCTGCTGGGGTGTTCATCCAGCTCTACACCTTGTTATCTCAGATTCTCCAGCATCTGCAGTTCCTACTATCTCTAAGTGACAGCCATTCTCAGGTTCATTTCTCAGGGTGATGCTTTGAGCAATTTGCCTGGTTCAAAGTTTAAATGAATCTTTTCAGTTAACTGTCGGCAATCATCTAACTGGTGCATTCTCTATGACATCACCTCTACCGATGAGAGTCCACTTTTTAAAGAAATGTCTAACAGGATGCAGACCTCACTGGTTCGACCAACAATTATTGGCCATCCCATGCTGCCCGTGAGAATAAAGTGGTGAACTGCCATTTTGAGTGGCTGCAGTATATTTGCCATTGTTAGACTCGCAGTGCAGTTAGGGAAAGAGTTCCAGCATTTTGAAGGACAGCAATATATTTCTACATCTCAGGATGGTGTGCAGTTCGGAGGGGAACTTGCAGGCAGTGGTGTTCGCATGTCTCTGCTGCCTTGCCCAAGTAGATGGCAGTGGTCATGAGTTTGGAAGGTGCTGTCTAAAGATCAAAAAAACTTTTGCAGAGAATCATGCCGATAGTACACAATGTTGCTACTGAGTGTCCGTGGTGGAGCGAATGAATATTAGTGGATATAGTGCCAATCAAACAGGCTGTTTTTTCCTGGATGGTGTCAAGCTTCTTGAGTGTTGTCGGAGCTGCACCCATTCCAGACAAGTGGGGAGTATTCCATCACACTCAGGACTTGTGCGTCGTAGATGGTGGAGAGGCTTTGAGAGTCAGGAGATGAGTTGCTTGCTGCAGGATTCCTAGCGTCTGACCTGTTCTTGTAGCCACAATGTTTACATAGCTAGTCCAGTTTGTGAGCAATGGTAACCCCCAAAATGTTGATAGTGCACTATTGAGTGAGGGCATGCCTGTGAATGTCAAGGGGCAATGGTTAGATTCTCTCATTGTCTAACACTTGTGCTGTGCGAACATTACTTGTTACTTATCAGGCCAAGGCTGGATATTGTCCAGCTCTTGCTGCATCTTTACATGGACTGCTTCAAAATCCAGAGTTGTGAATGGTGCTGAACATTGTATTATCATGTTCGAATATCCCCATAAGGCTTCTGAGCTTGTGATGGAGGGAAGGTCACTGATGAAGCAGCCGAAGGTGGTCAGACCTAGGACATTGCCCTGAGAAACTCCTGCAAAGATGGTTTGGACCTTCAACAATCAAAATCATCTTTTTTTTGTGCCAGGTATAACTCAATCCAGTAGAGAGTTTTCTCTTTGATTCCCATTAAATCCAGTTTGGGCTCCTTGATGTTATACTTGATCACATGCTATCTTGATTTCAAAGGCTGTCACTCTCACCTCCCCTCTGAAGGTAAGTTCTTTTGTTTGTTTGAACAGACTGTCATAAGGCCAGGAGCTGAATGACTCCGGCAGCATGCAAACTGGATGTCAGTGAGCAGCTCTTGCTAAGCAAGTGTTATTTGGTAAGCCCCTTTGATCACCCCCTCCGTCACTTTACTGATGATCGAGAGTAGACTGATGAGGAAGTAATTGGCCAGATTGAATTTGTCCTCCTTTTTGTGTACAGGATGCAGCTGGGCAATTTTCCACATTGTCAGATAACATTGTAGCTCTGCTGGAGCAGCATTGTGAGGCACACAGCTAATTCTGAAGCACATGTCTTTGGTACTGTAGCCAGAATGTTGTCAGGGCACATTGCCTTTGCAGTATCCCATGTATTTTGTGTCAGCCAGTTAGCACTCTCTTCTTATATAGATTTAAAAGGTTGTTTATCTTTTAAATTGGTAATTCCCCTGAATTTTCCTGATTTGGAAATTATGCAAGATGAAAAGCTTCAACAAAATAAGAGATAGTAAGAACTGGAGTGTGGAGTATGGAGCTGGAAGAAAACAGCAGGCCAGGCAGCATCAGAGGAACAGGAAAGCTGACGTTTCGGGTCTGGACCCTTCTTCAGAAATGGGCCCAAAGAAGGGTCCCGACCCGAAACGTCAACTTTCCTGCTCTTCTGATGCTGCCTGGCCTTCAACAAAATAAGCCTTTTTGTCAGCAATACTATCTTTGTGTCGGTAGTGCTCTTGCCTCTGAATCAGAAGGTTTAGGGGATCAAGGCTCTCCCTGAGTTTTTATCATACATTCCTAATCTGACACTAATGGGCAATGCTGAGGGGAGTGCCGCACAGTCTGAAGTGTCAGCTTTCAATGGAGAAGTAAAACCAAGGCCCCAACTACATCCTGAAAATGGATGTAAACAATTCCAAGACACTAAAGGGTTCAGGTACATAATTCTTTGAAGTTTGCATCAGATGTAGACAGGGTGGTTAAGAAGGCATTTAGCACGCTTGCCTTCATTGCTCAGACCTTTGAGTGTAGGAGTTGGGACACCATGTTGAGGTTGTATAGGATGTTGGTAAAGCCTCTTCTGGAGAGCTGTGTGCAGTTCTGGTCACCCTGTTATAATAGGAAGGATATTATTAGAATGGAGAGGGTTCAGAAAAGATGTACCAGGATATTGCTGGGAATGGAGGGTTTGAGTTATAAGGAAAGGCTGGATAGGCGGGGACTTTTTTCATTGGAACGTAGGAGGTTGAGGGGTGACCTTATTGAGGTTTATAAAATTACAAGGGGCATAGATAAGGTGAATAGCAAAGATCTTTTCCCTAGGGTAGGGAAGTTCACAAAAAAGGGAACATATTTTTAAGATGAGAGGAGGAAAGTTATAAAAAAGAGATGGGGACAACTTTTTTCACACAGAGAGTGGTTTGCGTGTGGAATGAACTTCCAGAGGAAGTGGTGGATGTGGGTACAGTTACAATATCTAAAAGACATTTGGATAAGAACATGAGTAAGAAATGTTCAGAGGGATATGGACCAAATGCAGGCAGGTGGGATTTGTTTAGTCTGCGATTATGGTTGGCATGGACTGCTTGGATCGAAGGTCTGTTTCCGTGCTGTATGACTCTATGACTGTTTCGTAGAATGAAAGTTCCCCTGGAATCCTAGCCAATATTTATTCTCAATCAGTGTTATCTCATGATTTACTTGATAACTTATCTTGTTACTGCTTGTGGAAGCTTGCTTTTTTGTCCTGTCTCTCTGCATTCCTACATTAATGCACATCAGCATTCCTGGGCCATCACGAGCAGTGGATACATGGGAATGTCATCTCCTGCAATTCTCCTCCAAACTAGTCACCACTCAGACTTGGAAATATGCCACCGGTCCTTCAGTGTTGCTGGGTCAAAATCCTGGAATGCCCCCCCTAACAGCATTGTAGGTCAACCTTCAGCACATGGCCTGCAGCAAAAATGCAGCTCCCCACCACATTCTTAAGGGCAACTAGGGATGGGGCAATAAATGTTGATCAAGCCAGCAGCGCACACATCCAGTGAATGAATTTTTAAGAGAGTAAAGTTGGTCATACTGAGCTCATAAGAGATGCTAAATAAGTATATCTTTTCTTTAATGCTTCCTTTCTCTCTGTTATCACAGATTCATGCAGTTTGGGGAGCAGAGGACCATGAAATCAGTCCTAATGTGAAAAACCTCATGAGCATTTAGAGCAAATCTTCTTACTGTGTCGGGAGGGGGAGGAGCTGCTGTTTAATCTCTAGCAATCACAAAACAAGATCAAGTCAGGGGTTTTACTATGTTCCCGATGTCATTTCATTTTGCTTCCGTTTTAAATTGACTAACGTCCATGTTCTGCAACATTTATATGGACAGTTCTAGCTAAACCATCTATAACTTGATGAGGTCCTAGTTTTGATCATGAAAACTTATACATGGAAATGATTGACAGATGGGTGTTGAAGAGTTAGAGTCCTGGGGCTGTTGTTATTCCCTTTAGCAGCTTTTTTTCCGTTGTGGGATTGATGTTGGAGAGAAAGGTTGTTGACACTGTATATTTGGAAACAAACAGTCCTTGCAGGGGTGACACAGTGGCTCAGTGGTTAGCACTGCTGTCTCATGGCACCAGGGACCTGGGTTGGATTCCATCCTTGGGCGACTGTGTGGAGTTTGCACATTCTCCCTGTGTCTGTGTGGGTTTCCTCCGGGTGCTCCAGTTTCCTCCCACAGTCCAAAGATGTGCAGGTTAGGGTGGATTGGTCATGTTAAATTGCCCGTAGAGTCCTGGGATGTGCAGCTTAGGTGGATTAGCCATGCAAAATGCAGGGTTATAGGGAAAGGGTGAGGGGGCGTGGGTCTGGATGGGATGCTGTTCAGACGGTTGGTGTGGATTCGATGGGCCTGCTTCCACATTGTAGGGATTCTATACAGTTTGTGAACTCTGAGAAGATAGAATCAGGATCCCTTACTGCATGGAATATGATTGAACCAATGTCAAAATGCTTTCTCAGCACTGCCTCTGAGTGTTGCAGGTCACCAATACACAGCCTTATTCTCAGTAGTAGTTCCTTCAAACTTTTCCCATGATGTTATACCTGAGTCAGCAATTCTTCCCAGTCATGTCCTGTCTAAATATTCCGAATTTCCTGTGTCCTCCTGCAGGGGGCCCTTTGCTCTATAATGAAGTCAAGGTTTCAATGAATGCAAAAGTTTTGAATGGAACTCAGAGGGTGGTGCTTGATGGTGTGATCACAGAGGAGGAATGTGAGGAACTACGTTATCTCTCCAATGTGAGTACCAACAGCCCCACCATCATCCTGCCCATTTGATGCCATGTGTTTGGGTGAATGGTCTAGAATTATTTGAGCATTTTAAGACGAAGGAAGATGGAGGGGCTTCTGTTCTGGCAACAGCAGATTAATGGGCACAGTGTGGATGTAAGGAGCTCAGGCCAACCCTCTAACGGGGAGCTCCCAACCTGTCCTGGCAAGGGTTTGACATCTTTTCCCCATCCAGCCTAGGAGGCTCTGCTCCCTACCTGACCCAGCCCAGGAGTCAAAGCACCAGACCTAACTCAGTCCCTACCTGACCCAGCCCAAGAGTGACAGTTCCCTACCTGACCCAGCTCAGGAGTGATCTAATCATGACCACATTGGACAACATGGCAGTTTAGCCCAGGGCCTGTGCTGAAGAGGCCACCACATAATGTCCAATGTCAACTTAACTGGGTTACCTCCCATTGCTGATCATCTCCATGGAGACCACATGTTTCTACAGTGATCGTTCTCCCAGATTAATTTGGATTGTCTGCTGGGAGGGGGGGTGCGTGTGGTGGTGGCGGCAGCGTGGTGGTCGTGGTGGTAGTGTGGGTTGGTGGGTCAGAAAGAGATTTCCTGGACTTCCCTACCAACAAGTTAGCCTGGGCTTATACCTGTTCTGTTTATCATCTCTCCCAGGAGATCCCATCATTCCAGGCGGTGGGCAAAGTGTAGAAATGGTAAAGTGAAAAGTATCAGTACAGCTGTTTGGTTGAACCAAAGGATCCTTTCCTTATTTGCCAATGGTCAAGTGATCCAAACATTCAGAAGGCAGGAATTGCTGTTTAGAAAGGAGGAGGGTTATAAGCATGGGAATTTTTGTCCAAATAAGAAGCAATATTTATGTGTACTTGGTATTACATCAAGGTTCTAGTGAATATTTAACCTGTTTGATGGAAGAGTGATCTTCTCAGCAGGGAGGGGCTTGCAGGGCCTATATGCTCTGACTATTTTTATATCTTTAACTTTCCGATCCTCCATTTCTAGGCTGCTGCGTCAATGGGTGATGGTTACCAAGGGAAACCTTCTCCTCATACACCAAATGAGCGATTCCAGGGAGTGACAGTTCTCAAAGCACTGAAGGTGAGTGATTCGGAACAGTTATGAGGTGAGTTGGCACAACCTCACTCACAGGCCCCCTAGCACTATACATGTACCTTGGTGCAGTCTTATAGAGTCATGGAGTCACACAGCACGGAAACAGACCCTTCGGTCCAACTAGTCCATGCCAACCATGATCCCAAACTAAACTAGTCCCACGCGCCTGCGCTTGGCCCATATCCCTCCAAACATTTCGTATTCATGTACTTATCCAAATGTCTTAGAGTCATAGAGATGTACAGCATGGAAACAAACCCCTCAGTCCAACTCATCCATGCCAACCAGATAATCTACATTAATCTTGTCACATTTGCCAGCATTTGGCTCATATCCTGTAAACCCCTCCTATTCATATACCCGTCCAGTTGCCTTTTAAATGTTGTAATTGTACCAACCTCCACCACTTCCCCTGGCAGCTCATTCCATACACACACCACCCTCTGCGTGAAAAAGTTGCCCCTTAGGTCCATTTTAAATCTTTCCCCTCTCATTTTAAACCTATTCCCTCCAGTTTTAGATTCCTCTGCCCTGGGAAAAGACCTTGGCTATTCACCCTATCCATGCCCATAATAATTTTATAACCCTCTATAAGGTCACCCCTTATACTCCGACGTTGTGACTGTACCCGCTTGCAACACTTCCTTTGGCAGTTCATTCCACACATGAGCCACTGTCTGTGTAAAAAAGTTGCCCCTCATGTCTTCTAAATTTTCTCTGCTTATCTCTCCCTTCTACCTTGTGTCAGAGCTGTACTTCCTTTAACTCCACCCAATACAAGCATTCGTTTTGTTTGCCCTTGTGCTGAAACCTCCTGCTCTTTTCTCCTGTGTTGGTGTTTCAGCCTTCAGTTTTAAGCATTTCAAGTACCCACAGTCTTTTTGTCAGACAAGTCAATGTTCTATCCAAGATGAAGACAGAAAGTGCTGCAGAAACTCAGCCAATCTGACTGTATCCGTGGAGAGAGAAACAGAGTGGACATTTTTAGTTCATTATGATTCCTCTTCGAAGTGCTGAAGAGTCGTACTGAGCTCAAATTTCTCTTTCCACATCTGCTGCTGAGGTTCTCTGATGCTTCCTGCTTTCATTTCAGATTGTCGGCATCGGCAGGACTTTGCTGTTATGTTAATGATCTGTTCCAGTTATTTGCTGCACTGTACTACTGTTCACTTCTGCCATTTCAGGCAGTTTATTTGTAGGTAATGATTGCCCAAATTTTGTTGCCACCAGGTGTTGCAACTTGGTTTGTCTTCCGACATTTCTAACTTGTGTTTACAACAAATGGCATGGTTTGTAACTCGATTCCATAACCACGATGATCTCTAAGACTCTAGTCTTCTTCTTGCTGTAAATGAAAAATGAATGTGCAGTAACACTTTTCTTTTAGTGTTGAACACAGATAATCCATGCTCACACGTCTGTCTATGCAAACGATTACATAAACATCGCCCTGTGAGACCATGTCATTCAGGTTAAAAAGAAACATGAATTGCAATCACACATAGAATACATTCCCTACACTGTGGAAGCAGGCCATTTGGCCCATCATGTCCGCACTGAGCCTCTGAGGAGCGTTCTGCCCAGACCCACCCACTCCATAACCTTGCATTTCCCATGGCTAATGCACCTATCTTCACATCCCTAGAAACTATGGGCAACTTAGCACAGCCAATCCACCTAACCTGCACATCTTTGGACTGTGGGAGGAAACCAGGGTACCCAGAGGAAACCCACACAGACACGGGGAGAATGTGCAAACTCCACACAGTCACTTAAGACTGAATTCAAACCCAAGTTCCTAGTGATGTGAGGCGGCAGTGCTAACCACTGAGCCACCGTGCCTCCCTTTAAATAAACCAGTATGTTAAGTAACCATTGTTTCATTGATCCTAATATTTAAACTGCTTCAAGAAAAACTAATAAAAATTTTACAATTGCAAAAGTTCCCTCTAGTCTTAACCTATTGTTTGATACATATTATATGAGCATTGAGTCCACTAGTACCTCTCATTATCAGTCTGGAAACAAGTATTCCAAACAGCGAACTGAAAGCACGGAGCAATATAGCAGCACTTAAGAGAAAAAAAGAATAATAAGGAGAATACACTTCAATTGACATATTTAAGTCTTTTACCTAATTATTTGTTGCCATAACAGTCATTCCCAAACATTTAATACTTGCATGTTCTGGTGTTCCAGGTCACTTCATTATTGATCTTACAATAATACTTGTTAAGGACAAAAGCTCCTGTTTCATGCTGTGCACCAATTCTCTTTTTGAGTTTTCTCCTTTATTTACAACTATGTGTTCCCTGACAGCTCAGTCAGCAAGGCAGGATCTCACTGAAAACATCAAAGCTGTTTTATGATGTCAGTGAAAAAGCCCGCAGGATCCTTGAGTCTTATTTCCGATTGGAAAACCCCCTGTACTTCTCCTATTCACACCTCGTCTGTCGGACTGCAATGGAAGGTGATGGGCTTTGTCTCAGCTTTGCTGTGGTGACGTGTCTTTGCACTTGCTCTGGATTTACTTGAGGTTTGTGATTATTTATGTTTGGCCTGCACTGGGGGCATTCCCAATCTGCTTCAGGTAAGTACACACAAAGAACAGTGAGCAATTAAAAAAATAATTGTTTAAAAAACCCATCTGGCCCACTAATGCCCTTTGCAGGAAGGAAATCTGCCATCCTTACCTGGTCTGGCCTACATGTGACTACAGACCACAGCAATGTGGTAGACATTTAACTGCCCTCTGTGCAATAAATGCTGGTTTACTTAGTACCCTCTCAGGTTTAAAATAAAGAGCTGGGTGCAGGGAAGGGGTGTACACTACAGGGAGCTGCTGCTAAAGTCAAAGCATCTGGATTTTTAAAAAATTCACTCATAAGATGAGGGCATCGCTGGCGGGGCCCATACCTATTACCCATCCCTAATTGCCCAGAGGGCAGTTAAGAGTCAATCACATTGCTGTGGGTCTGGAGTTCCATGTAGGCCAGACCAGGTAAGGATGGCAGTTTCCTTCTCTAAAGGACATTAGTGAACCAGATGGGTTTTTACAACATTGATCGCTAACTTTCTTTACAATTCAAGATTTTTTAAATAGAATTCAAATTTCGCTATCAGTTATAATGGGATTCCAGACCAAGTCCCCAGAACATTAGCCTGGATTACTAGCTCAGTTGCATTACCACTACACCAATGTCACCCCACATAGTACTTGATTTCTGAGCTCAGTAAACTGGGCAAGGGTTCACAGCAAGACATTCCTGCCCATCCCTAATTGCCCAGAGAGCAGTTAAGAGTCAACCACATTGCTGTGGGTCTGAAGTTCCATGTAGGCCAAACCAGATAAGGATGGCAGTTTCCTTCCCTAAAGGATGTTAGTGAACTAGATGGGTTTTTCCCCAACAATCATGGTCACCATCAGAGTCTCAATTCCGGATTTTCTATTGTATTCAAATTCCACCAACTGCCATGATGGGATTCAAACCTGGATCCCCAGAACATTACCTGGGTCTCTGGATAAACAGTCCAGCGATAATGCCATCAGGCCATCACCGCCCAAGAATAGCTCCTCATATTTCCGTTAGTGATGCCACAGAATGACTGCACCTTGCAGTCCAACTTCCCCACAGCTCTCCTTTAGAGGTATCCAGCTGGACCTTGCCTCTGCAAGAGCTGATCGATGCTGGGACCGCAGAGGCTTTCTGGACTGAGATGGATGGATTTTTTTTTGTGGTGAAGAGTATCAAGGGATGTGAAGCTAATGCAGTGAATGAAGTTGAACTGCAGATCATATGTGATCCCGTTGAATAGCAGAGCAGGATTGAAGCGTTCAATAGCCTCTTCCTGTTCCTAACATCTTTCTCTCCTCATTGGGGCAAGATGAATCACTATCTCACATTCTAAACAATGCGTTTGGATGGACGTTAATGTTAGTACATTGTCGTAAAGGTGGAAATTCTGCAGATACACAACGATTCTGTTAGCATCTGAAAGACGAAGTTAGAAAGACAAAGGAAGGAATGTTATTCAAACTCTCACATTTCCTCCATCCAGAACGACCTGACATTCACCGTCACAATGTCGAATGGATTTGTGAATGATTCTGGAAAGTCCACCAGGGACAGGAACAGAAATCATGGGCCTTGTTGCTGCTCCTGCTTGGAGCCCCGACCAAAGCACAGTGACCCGCCCCTGACCAGAGCACAGTGACCCTACCCCCAGCCAGAGCACAGTGACCCCGCTCCCGACCAGCGCACAGTGACCCTGGCCCCCCCAACCAGAGCACAGTGACCCCGCTCCTGACCAGAGCACAGTGACCCTGCCCCCCAACCAGAGTACAGTGACCCCTCCCTGACCAGATCACAGTGACCCCGCCCCCAGCCAGATCACAGTGACCCCGCCCACAGCCAGTGCACAGTGACCCCACCCCGATCAGATCATTGTGAATTTCCTAGACCCCAGGTCGCCAGGCCTTGATTTAAACACCCTCCCAGCTCCTCGCCCCTCTCTAATTTCCACTATTCTTTCCAGAATTCCAATTGTTATGTCAAACCTTATTTTAGTCCTCTCCTAACTGAATTTGTAACTTTTCAATATATGGTCAGAGTATAATTTGAAGTAACGGCACAAATTTGACCTTGATAGCCTGTTGCTGTCCTATAAAGCTGTACGTTGGACCTTCTCCTTTCAGATGTTGTGAACTTGCCTTGTATTTGCAGTTTTTCCTGTGTTTGTTATAGATTTTCAGAAACCCCTTTGTTCTCTGGTCTCACCAATAAATTGTTCATAAATCCAGGTTTCTCGGGGCTATTAACTTTGAATCCTTGGTTTCCCCTTTCCCCCTGTTAGGAACCCAGGACAATCGTGATGATCTGAGCCACTCAGTCCACGTTGATAACTGCATCCTAAACTCCGAAGCTTTGGAATGTCGGAAAGAGCATCCTGCCTACACTGAGCGGGATTACAGGTAAAAATGAACCTGGTCTGTGTCTTTCCTGCAAGTAAATTAGAAGATTTATGATGGTGCTTTCTGCACTGGCAGATTCAAGTTACAAGGAGAGACTGAATGGGCTGGAACTTTTTTATCCCTGGAACGTAGGAGACTCAGGGGTGACCTTATAAAGGTCTATAAAATCATGAGGGGCATAGATAAGATAGATAGCCAACAGCTTCTCTCCCTGGTAGGGGAGTGTAAAACTAGAGGTTTAAGGTGTGAGGGAAGAGATGCAAAAGGGTCCGGGGGAGGGTAAATTTTTTTCACACAGAGGACGGTGAGTGTCTGGATCGGGCTACCAGAGGTAGTGGTGGGGACGAGTACAATTTTGTCATTTAAGAAACATTTAGACAGGTACATGGATGGGATAAGTATGGAGGGATATGGACCAAACACAGCCAAATGGGACTAGATTAATTGTGAAAACTGGGCAGCATAAGCAAGTTGGGCCGAAGGGCCTGTTTCCATGCTGTAAATCTATATGACTCTATGAACTTACCCAGTAACGTTCTTTGAAAACTCTTTGAAGGGAGGTGATGGCCCAGTGGTATTACTGTTGGATTATTAATCCAGTGAACCTAGTAACATTCTGGGGACCCTGGTTCAAATCCTGCCATGGCTGACAGTAAAATTTGAATTCAATAAATAGGTGGAATTAGGAGTCTAATGATAATCATGAAACCATTGTCGATTGTTGGAAAAAATGCCATCTGGTTTACTTTAAGGACAGAAACTGCTGTCCTTACAGCCTGTGTGTGACTCTAGACCCACAGCAATATGATTGACACTTAACTGCTCTCTGGACAATTAGAGATGTGTAATAAAATGCTGGCCAAGCCAGTGATGCCCACATCCCGTGAATGATTAAAAAAATTTTTGTCAAGGGTAAAAATCACAGCTAACAGCCTCCTCAAGAGCTGTATACAGAGATACTGAACTTTGGTTTAAACAACAGCAATTTGAATTTATATGGCATCTTTACCAAAGCATCCCAAGATGCTTCACCAGGGCATTATTAAATACAATCTGGTACCGAGGTATTGGAATGGGCAGCCAAGTACTTGGTCGAAGTAGTAGAAGTGGGTGGACGATGGCCTCACAGCACCAGGGACCCGGGTTCGATTCCACTCGCAGGCGACTGTCTGTGTGGAGTTTGCACATTCTCCCCATGTCTGTGTGGGTTTCCTCCGGGTGCCCTGGTTTCCTCCCACAGTCCAAAGATGTGCAGGTTAGATGGATTAGCCATGCTAAATTGCCCATTCTGTCCAGGCGGATTAGCCATGGGAAATGCAAGGTTACAGGGATAGGGTAGGGGCAGTGGGCCTGGGTGGGTTGCTCTCCAGATGGGTGATGTGGACTCGATGGGCCAAATGGCCTGCTTCCACACTGTAGGGATGCTATGAATTGTCTTAAAGGAGAAAGAGAGAGACTGAGAGGTTTAGGGTCAGACTGATTTGTTAATATTATGTAAATTGTATTATTAAGGTTACAAAGAAATAGAATATTGATTGATTAATTATATTCAGTACATTTAAAGTTAAGTCATCCTCTGGTATATTTGAGAGCTTCTGTGACTGGTGGGCACCACAGGGGCTGGAGTGCATTATAAGCCCTGGGAATGATGTTTTAATTTCAACTTTTTAACATTTTCTTTGAAGATTTGATTCCCATTAAAGTGCCCTTTTAATGACAGTCACTAATTAATTTAGCTAACACGACAATTTGCTTATAAAGAGTATAAAAGCTGACACCGTGATAGATAGAGGCAGGTTTTTGATTTGATTTATTATTGTCACATGTACTGAGATACAGTGAAAAGTATTGTTTTGCATGCTAACTAGACAAATCATATGTTACATAAGTACATCAGGGTACTAGAACAGAATGCAGAATATAGTGCTACAGCTACAGAGAAGGTGCAGATAAAGATCAACTTTAATATATGAGAGTTCGTTCATAAGTCTGATAACAGTGGGGAAGAAGCTGTTCTTAAATCTCTTGGTACATGTTTTGTATATGTCATGCAGCACTCTGTTATAAAGGAACTATTGAGAAAAAGATTTGCATCTGGCTTCATACCTGAAGCCTACGATCCATTTAGTGTTGCAAACTTTGAGGGTGGAGTGGTCATAATCAGAAATTTGGAAATGTTTGAAAAAGTCATGCAACTGTTGGGGGCTGAAGGAAGTTACAGAGATAGAAAGCGACAAGGAGATGAAGGAATTTAAAAACAAGCAGGAGAATGATAAATTTGAATGGTGATCAACTGGGTGCCGAGTGAGATCAGTGAATACTGCGGCTGGTGAGTGAATGGGCCTTGCTACGTGTTAGGATATATGAAGTAAAACTTTGAACAAACTGATGTTTACATCAGGAAATCTCACAAAGAGCTCTTAATTTCAGTGATGTTACTATTTCTCAGTGCATGCGGCCACTTTTGGACAGGGAAAGAAAATTCACGAGGAACAATGGTCTCTACTTTTCCAACTATCATGTCAGCCCAATGTATAAGACAACATCATCTTTTCGGCATCCAAACAACCATGTTTTTGTATATACTCAACGTTCCCCTGCCACCTCCTTTCTCAGTAACGGCAAGCTCCACTTGCATGAGCTGTCAGTCTCAATCTTTCACCAGTCGAATGTTTTACATACCGATGCCTTATAATTGGGAGCAAGTGATCAAGCAGGCTGCAAAGGCACATGGGAGTTTTGGACATCAACACACACTGCACAGGGCCCACATGGCGAGCAACAAAGATGGTGGCCACCCATGCCAGCAGATCACTTGAACCACTTCTTGGGAGGGATTTGTCGAGATTTCAAGGGTCATCCACATCACTCGCAGGTGGGATCGCTCACCTTCTGAACAATATTCTCTTGCTTTCTCCCAGTGGGGGACTAGGAGATGGAGAGAAAGTGGTGCCACATTCCGGTTCAGTCAATGTTAGACACTGAAAGGCCATTGGCGGAGTCTAGTAGAATATCGGCTCTCCTGAGAATCGCAGAGGAATGGGATGGGGTTTGGGAGGGGGTACTGGGCATATCCTCACAGGAACAGTGATAGTGAGCAGGCAACCCTGGTGCACTGACCAGGGACCTACCTAATAGAGCGCAGTGAGATAAGAAAACTCATGGGGCCCCTCAGCCTGCAGGTGCCCTCTTGCTGGGGTGTGGTAGTTACCAATCCCGTGGTTAATTCTTTCTACCTTGTTATTTTGCTCCAGGATTTTCAAAGTGTAGAATTTGACCACCGGCCCTTATCTCAGTAATAAATGTGCTAAGTGACAACGCCATGTGCCACCCCCTCAGTTACTTGTGGTTTACAGCCGTAAGACATGTGAAACTGAAAGGCCAATCCCTGCTCTGTCCTGAATCAGCTAGTTTCAGTCATCATTCTATATTTGGCCTCAGCTCCTTCCAATAAGCGCCTCCACTGGTGGCATAAGGAGTGACAGTCAATGCCAATGGGCCGAATAGCCAGCTTCTGTGCTGTACCATCTCTATGACGCAGCTGTGTTCACAGTGCTGACTGTGAATGCTAACAAATGCTTGTTATGGATTCTTAATGATCAAACATTATTTTCTCTAGTGCCATTCTGTATCTAAACCATGATTTTGAAGGCGGAGACTTCATATTCACAGAAATTGATGCAAAAAATATTACGGTAAGTTGTTATTTATCAACTATTTTGATGATTTGTCATTTACAAATATTTTTTAAGAGTCCTGCTCTCATATTTGCCCAGACCTTCAAGTAAATCCAATACACTCCAGTAAACGTAGAGTCCAAAGATGTGCAGGTTAGCGGGACAGGCCATGCGAAATTGCTCATAGTGTCCAGGGATGTGCAGGTTAGGTGAGAAATATGGAGTTACAGGCTTTTCGTAGGGTCAGTGTGGACTCGATGAGTTGAATGGCCTGCTTCCACGCTGTAGGGGTTCCATAAAAGATGGCAGACAGTTCTTCTCTCACCCTTCCCATCAATGTTACTGTATTGTTGCAGCCAATGTTGTTCCCACAAACTCTTCTTTCACCTCGCACAGAGACATTGCACCATCTCCTTCTGTCCTTCCAAAGGCCTCAGGAAAAGCTGAGCTCCCCTGTAGCTCTCACTTTCACCTCTAATCCACCCGGAGAGCCCAGAAAGACCATGCTCTGTTTCTCCATATATCACAACCTCTCGTTTTCTCTTTTCAGCCTTGAGGTGGAATCCCGCGCTGTGACCCTTGACCCCTTTGCCTTAGTTTCTCAGTAAAAGGACATTATAGAGATACCTTCCAACGATCTCTTCTTCCGCAGGCGAAGGTGAAGCCCAGGTGTGGCCGTTTGGTGGGTTTCTCCTCAGGCACAGAGAACCCACATGGAGTCCAGGCTGTGACCAAAGGGCAGCGGTGTGCAGTGGCACTCTGGTTCACGTTGGATCCCCGGCATAAGGAGCGGGTATGGCACGGGGAACGGGGCGATGGGGTCCATGAGGGAAGCATGGCTGTTTTTTTGGCATGTGAGTTGCGGTGGGAGGAATGCACTGTGACAGGAAGGAAGCAACCTCTTGGGAGGTGGCACAGCATCAGGAATGGTGCAGTGTCACAGAGGTGAGCGCACACTGTTGGGGGAGGGGGAGGGTATGCAATGTGAGAGGACGGGGCACAAGTCAATGAAGAGCAGATTCTGGGATAAGGAACAATGATGGGTGAGAGGGGTTCACAGTGTCGGGGTGGGGTCACAGTGTCAGAGGGCAGGGTCACAGTGTCAGAGGCCAGGGTCACAGTGTTGGGGGAGGGGGAACGGTGTTGGGCGAGGACTCACATTCATGGGGGGTGGGACTAACAGTGTCGGGGAAGGGAGCACAGTGTTGGGGTGGGGCCACAGGGTAAGAGGCAGGGTCACAGTGTCAGGGGGAGGGAGTCACAGGGTCAGGGAGAGGTCACTGTGTCTATGGGTGGGGGTCACAATGTCAGGGGAGGGGGGAATCACAGTGTCGGGAGAGCGAGTTGATCGTGTTATTCACTTGCATTTGAAACATGTGCCTTGTGGCCCTGCGATGATCCTTTCCATCCCAGTTCGTGAATGTCCTCCTCTCTTTCTCCCTCCCTCTGGCCTTTGAGTGGGGTTGCTGTTTCTGCAGAGCCTTGGCAGCAATAGCTGTGTGGGCCCAGGGAGCAGAGAGGTCCCCACTGAGTGGCCAAAGGCAGGCTACAACCTGGGGGCAACTGGCTCTGATTTAAACCCAGTGGCTTGAGGAGAGGCAGGAGTGGAGGGTGGGTGGGGGCGTAACTGGAAAGGCGGTGTGAGATAAATCAGAACTCCACCGTGCTACGGAATGAAGGCGCTGGTGCCTAGTCTTTGGGGTTTATGGCTTTGGGTAGAGACTGTGCTACCGCTCACTCGCTCTGTGTCTGACAGGAGAGAATCGCGGCTGATGATTTGGTGAAGATGTTGTTCGGGGCAGAAGAGGAGCTGCAGCACGATGAAGACGTCCTCAGTGCCCCGGGGTCCGAAGACGTGCCAACCGAGGCCTCAACCGTCCAGTCTGCCCCCGAGCCACCCACTGCAGCAGCGCCAGAGCTGGAACAGAAAGAGGAACAGGCACCCATGTCCGAATCCTCCACAATAAACACACTAGACTCCTCACCAGGGACAACAGCTCCTGCCTTAGATCAGAAAGACCAAGCCATTCCGAACATAACCCCTGAGAAACAGGAATTGTAATGTAACTTACAAAGATTCACTTTGGGGCTGCACCATGCAGTTCCCTGTGTTTTGCTCCTTTTTCAGTCGTTCGCAGTTATGGTCGTCCAGTTCTGGGCCTGAGAAACTGTGGAACCTATTACCTCATCCTGTTTTCTCTTCACCCCGTCAGTCTGCAGGCTTTGAATCCCAGAGCATGACATCTTCTGTTTTTGACCTGCCTGCATTGTCACATCTCCCCTACACTCCCAACCCTTCAGGTTTGGAGTCTTGCCCACCCACACAGCAACAGTCTGCAAATGTTCCTCTGCGAATAGTTGAAGTCACTGACCTTTAGCGCACAGATGTGACAACAAACAAAAACGTAAATGTTGTCCAACTTCAACTGTCTGGGCTACTGGCACTCAGTATCTTGAACTGGATCCACTCCAGTTTCTGCAGTGTTCACACATTTTTTAAGGTAGTACATTTTTGAAAGAGAAGTGGCTTCACTGTTGTCCCACTGTTGTCACTCAAAGCATTTGTAGACAGCATCATTTAAAGGGGCTAGATTATGACTGTATTCACTTGTATTCCTCTGTGCTTTACAGGGGTGTGTGTACCGCTGAACACTCTCTGGTTCTGTTACTTCTAATTCCTCAATGCTATATACACTCTCACTCAGGCACGTTCACTCATACGGTCAGATTTAAACAGGGATTATCTCGTAGCAAATAAAAACAGAAAGAACTGCGGATGTTGTAAATCAGGAAACAAAACAGAAATTGCTGGAAAAGCTCAGCAGATCTGGCAGCATCTGTGAAGGAGAAAACAGAGTTAACGTTTTGGGTCCGGTGACCCTTCCTCAGAATAGTTCTGAGGAAGGGTCACCGGATCCAAAATGTTAACTCTGTTTTTTCCTTCACAGATGCTGCCAGACCTGCTGACCTTTTCCAGCAATTTCTGTTTTTTTCATTATCGAGTAGCAGTTAGGAGGCAGAATTCTCAAAGATGTTCCTATCCAGGGAGGCAAACATAACATTCAGAGAATCTCTCCTGCAGAGATCAGATAATGCAGCACAGGCTACGGGTTTGACCGTGAACTATCCGTGCTCACAGATCAATCCTTTCCCCTGCTGAGCCAATAGGAGAATTCCTGACCTGAATTCATTTCCAGCAAAACGGAAACCTCTGACTGTGATGATCTGGTAAGAACCTGGAAAGAGTTAATTGTAGCAACAAGCTGCCTGTAGGTTAGTTGTAAGTGGAGAATGCTCCACACCATTCATGCTACATTCCATGTCACAGATAAACTTTGAATCCCCACTCGTATGAATTTCTATAACGTTTCAAGTTGCCAGTGCTCTCGGTGTTCCCATTCACCCACTCAAGAAAAACCAACAGTGGTTAACATGCCCTTTTCTAAAACTCCTGGACCAACTAGTGCCTAAGAGGTAGAAGTGAAAATCTGAGTGAGTTTTCCAAGGGACAGATTGTGGATTAGGCTGACACCGGGCTCTGTATTTCCTGATGTATCCCAATAATGGGACCTGGGTGTTTATCAATGGTGCTATTTCTATTGTCAGTGTTCCTTTAAACCAAAACAGCCAGTATTAATACCACGCACCCAGTCAGTTTGTGCCATACATGCCTTTTGTTTTGGATTCACAGAGCTTGTTTAATGTTTGATGGTATTGTTGATTGCCACAGGCGCACATTTGTGTGCCCCAAAATATGTCTTTAATGCTCTTCTTGGACTAGTCTTCCAGAAATCTGCAATAAGTAACTCACCTCCTGATTCCCCAAAGCCTGCCCGCCCTCTCTAAGCACAAGTCAGGAGTGTGATGGAATACTCCCCATTTGCCTGGATGGGTGGAGCTCCAACAACACTCAAGACTCTTGACAGTATCCAAGACAAAGCATCCCACTTGATTGACATGTTATCCAACTCTTTGACCCTTTCCATTGCCAACATATACTGTAGTGTCAACAGTGTGTACCATTCACACGATGCACTGCAGAAATTCACCAAGCCTCATTGACAGCATCCCCCAAAGCTGTGACCTTTACCACCTTAAAGGGCAGCAGAGACATGGCAACACCATTATCCTAAAGTTCCCTTTCAAGCTACTCACCATCCAGGCATGGAAATTTCTCTTAATTCACTATCCTGGAAAATCCTGGAAGTCCCTTTTTAATGGAACTGTTGGTATATCTACACAGTCTGCATGGCAGTGGTTTAAGAAAGCAGCCCACTGCCTTTGCAAGGGGTAATTAGGGATGGGCAATAAATGCTGGCTTAGGCAGTGACGCTTACATCCTACAAATGAATTTTAAAAGATCATTGTTTAGAGGGTACAGTGCTGTTTCCAAATCCATAGACACCCAAAGGGTTAAAAACTGACCTTGCAGCATCTACTAAAGGCTTTGTATTCCTTGGGGCCCCAAGTACAAGTGCAGCATAGCGGTAATTAGGGATGGTAATGATGGTCTCTGTCCGTTGAGCAGGCTTCATTGTCACGGTTCTGAGGGTGAATGATTTTGCAGACATGAGGGATAACATGGAATTTAACGATGCATCAAGTTTTCTCAAATTTATTATCCGTTATGAAAGTAACCCACATAATTCCAAAACAAGGTACTGTTCCAGCAGCGTGTTCCGCTGGGTATAAGTATCAGGCTGTAGGGGTTCACCAGCCTGGTATCTCCCAGCAATAGGATATTTCTCACACTGCCTTGTGTGAATTTAGCTTGACGTGTGACGTTCGCTTGACCAGGTCTGTGCTGCTGTCCCTCAATGCCCCTGTTCCGATGGCCTTATTTACACTAATTTTGGTTTTCAGTAGCACCAAGTCAGACACTACTTGTCTTTTATTTTAAATCTAAGTATCTCAACGTTCAGGTGCACACCGTCAAGTTTTTTGGTGCTGAACACTTTGTGGAGTTTTATCCACAAATAAATTGTACTTTTTTCATTATGTACTTCCACATGCTTCCAGTTTGTAACTTGTCTGCACTGGTTTGATATCTTAGAGGAGCAGGTGATCAAAACCATGTCATAGAATCATAGAGCTGCACATCACAGAAACAGACCCTTCAGTCCAACTCATCCATACCGACCAGATATCCTAAATTAATTTAGTCCCGTTTGTCAACATTTGGCCCCTATCCCTGTAATCCCTTACTATTCATATACCCATTCTGATACCTTTTAAATGTTGTAATTGTACCAGCCTTTACCACTTTCTCTGGCAGCTCATGCCATACACACACCACCCTCTCCATGAAACAGTTGCCCCTTAGGCTCCTTTTAAATTTTTCTCCTCTCACCTTAAACCTTTGCCCTCTAGTTTTGGACTCCTCTACCCTGGGGAAAAGACTTGGGTTATTTACCCTATCCATGCCCCTCATGATTTTATAAACCATCCTGCAGCCTCTGATGCACCAGGGAAAATAATCCCAGCAAATTCAACCTCTCCGTCCATCCCTGGCAACAAACTTGCAAATCTTTTCTGAATCCTTTCATGTCTCACAACATCTTTCTGAATACAGAAAGATCAGAATTGAACGCAGTATTCCAAAAGTGGCCTAACCAATGTCCTGTACAGCCGCAACATGACCTCCCAACTACACTCAATGCACTGACCAATAAAGGCAAGGGTACTAAACACCTTCTTCACTATCCTTTCTACCTATGACTCCACTTTCAAGGAACTATGAGCCTCCATCCCAAGATCTCTTTGTTCTGCAACACTCCCCAGGACCTTATCATTAAGTGTATAAGTCCTGCCCTGATTTGCCTTTCCAAAATGCAGCACCTCACACTTATCTAAACTAAACTCCATCTGCCCCTCCTTGGCTGAAGTTGGATGGACTCAATGTGTATTGCCTTGAATATGGAAGATTAAAATATAATTACTGTATTTCTGCTAATGAGAGGACATGGCAGGGTGGGATGGAGAGGAGATATTTCCTTTGGTGGTAAAGCCCAGTTCAAGGTAATATAAATATAAAATTAGAATGATGTATCCCATTGACACTTCCTCACACAACTGGTAGTCAAAATCTAGAGCTCTATCCAATAAAAAATATTGATAAGGCTTGGGGTTAATTGAACATTTTAAGTATTAGGTAAGGGTATTTGTCAGGCCAAATGGAACAGTCCCTGCAGATTGAAGGGTGGCTAATGTCACTCCAATATTCAAAAAGGGAGCTAGGAAGAAAACAGGGGATTATAGATCAGTGAGCCTTACATCAGTAGTAGGGAAAATTCTCCATTCCATTGCCAAGGATTTTGTAGCAGAGCATTTAGAAAGCAGTGGCAGGATCAGACAGAGTCAGCATGGATTTATGAAGGAGAAATAATGCTTGACAAATCTGTTGGAATTCTATGAAGATGTTACTAGTAGAGTTGACAAGGGGGAGCCAGTCGATGTAGTACATTTGGACTTTCAGAAAGTGTTTGACAAGTCCGACGTTAGAGATTAATGTGCAAGATTGAAACGAATGGAATTGGGGGAAGTGTATTGAGATGGATAGGAAACTGGTTGGCAGAGAGGAAACAAAGAGTAGGAATTAATGGGTCCTTTTCAAATTGGCAGGCAGTAACTAATGGGGTGCGACAGGGATCGGTGCTGGGACCCAGCTATTCACAATTTATGTTAATGATTGGATGAGGGAACAAAATGTAACATCTCAAAGTTTGCAAATGATACCAAGTAGGGTGGGGTGTGTTGAACTATGATGACGATACAGAGATCCTTCAACATGATCTCAACAGTTTGGGTGAGTGGGCAAATCAATGGCAGATGCAATATAATTTGGATAAATGTGAGGTTATTCACTTCGGAAGCAAAAGCAAGAAATAAGATTAAAACCTGAATGGCTGTAAATTAGGAGAGGGGAGTGTGCAGCAGGACCTGGGTGTCCTTGTGCACCAGTCGCTGAAGGTAAGTATGAAGGTGCAGCAGGAGGTAAAGAAGGCAAATGGGATGTTGGCCTGCATTGCGAGAGGTTTCAAGTACAGGGGCAAGGATGTGTTGTTGCAGTTATACAGGGCCTTGGTGAGGCCACACCTGGAATATCGTGCACAGTTTTGGTCTCCTTTTCTGAGGAAGGATGCTCTTACTCTCGAGGGAGTGCAATGAAGGTTTACCAGGCTGATTCTGAGGATGGACTGTCTGACGTATGAGGGTGGATTAACTAGTTTGGGATTGTTTTTGCTGGAGTTCAGACAAATGAGGGAGGGATCTCATAGCGACTTATAAAATTCTAACAAAGACTGGACAGGATTGATGCAGGGATGATGATCGATGGTGGGCGTGTTCACAACCAGGGGTCACAGTCTGAGGATTCTGGGTAGAAGATTTAGGACGAAGATGAGGAGACATTTCTTCACCCAAAGAGTGGTGAGCCTGTGGAATCCATTACCACAGGAAGTAGTTGATGCCAAAACATTGAATGTATTCTAGAGGTGACTTGGGGTGAATGGGATCAATGGTTACTGGGAGAAAGCAGGATTATTTTATTGAGTTGGAAGATCAGCCATGATCATGAAGAATGGCAGAGCAGGCTTGAAGGGCCGAATGGCCTCCTGCTGCTCCTATCTTCTATGTTTCTACGTTTCTATGGTCAGGTTGGGATATAAATTAGGTCTAATTAGATAGTGGATTAGGCTCAGAAGGCTGCATGGCCTGTACATAAATCCTTAAATCTGATGGTGCTGGGATTGCACAGCCTCTCTGTCAGTGCTTTCATTACTGAGTGTTTCTGAGCTCAGGAAAGATGCTGCAACAGAATTGCGAGG